CAAGATCCACACATGAGTGTCATATCTCTTAAATTTTTATTAATCTGGACCACAGATGTTCTTCTAACTGGGGCGTCTCTTTGCTGACAACTGGCCTCAGCCCTTGTGTCCTTGATCCCCGCCCCTGGACTAGCAGGAACTGAGAAATCAGGACTGAAGTTGATATGGAGAGAGGGTAGGAGGGCTGCGGTGAGTATTGGAGTCCTCAGATCTCATGAAAAGAAATTCCTAATCTGCTTCAGGAGAAACAGATTGGAGTTAAGAGACTCTTTACAACTAGAGTTGACCGGCACGCTCTCCTAACACCTAAGAATGACAAGAATTTCCCAAGATTATAGGAGGCAGATGCCTGTGGCAAAGAGAGGGAGGCCAGAGAAAGAAAATCAAGTGGAATCTGATGGACAACACAAAAACACAGGCAGGACTCGGTATCTCATGTGCAAGTTCAGTGCAAAAGCAAAAGCCCAGAATACTTATTCAAAAATTGTTAGCGAGTTCGATATGGCAAGTGTAATGCATTAGGCCAACCCGGAGTCCTGCAAAGCTCTCCTCCCCAAAGTTGAAAAGTTGGTGGCCTGTGCCAGGCTGTGCATAGGGGGCCTAGTCCAGGAGGCCCCAGCGAGTTGTCCTATGAGGCAGTGCTTGCTGACGTGTGTCACAGTTGCATTTCAGAGCACACAGAGGCAGTGGAATCCTTTCTATATCCGGTAGTCATACCAGCATCTCGGGTGGGGAATGGGTCACAGACAAGTGTACATAGCTCCCTGCCATGGTTAGGGTGGGTCAGAATCCTGTGCTTCTGCACTAGTCTGTATTAACACGGACCCTAAAGCCAGATAAGCCTGGTTTCACTTCTAGCCCTATTATCACTGGTTGCTGTGTAATATCGTCTGCATTTGCTTCCTCAACTATCAAGGAGGGTTGATAAAAGTACCAACCTTAAGGGGTTTTTTGCTGTCATTTGGTTTGGCTTGGTTTTTGCAGTACTGAGGATGGAACTCAGGGCCTTGTGAACACTAAGCAAGTGCTCTACCACTGAGCTACACCCCAGCCCTGCGAAGGGTTATTTGAGAACTAAATTAGTTCATGTTTGCTGGGATGAGTTGAGCATTATAGATTTGTCAAAACAAAACTAACCTAGAAGCCAGGGTTCTGTCTTATAGGTTCTATCTTAACCTGTTTTCTGTTGCTAGAATAGAATACCCGAAACTGGATAATTCATAAGGAAAAGAATTATTTTGGCTCATGGTTTGGGAGGCTGAGAAGACCATGAGTAGGACACCAGCATCTCCTTCTGTGCTTCACAAGGAGGGGCCCAACTTCCATGGTTGTCAACTCATTCCCATGAGAAGGACATGATTTCATCCCGAGACCCTTCCCCCATGACCAAATTCTCCGAACAGGGTCCACGACCAACACCTTCCAGCACTGGGTAAGAAGGGGACACACGGACTTGGGGACATACTCAAACCATAGCAAGTTCGGAGGGATGCCTCATAATGGTAATATCCACAGGGCCATGACCCACTCTGCTCTTCCAGTGGGGAAGGGCTGTGCCTGGCATCCTAATCTTGTCCCCTACAACTTACACAATGGTCATTTACTCTGTAAGTGCTTCTTGAGCACCTACTATATGCCAACCACTCACTGAAGGAAAAGTAAGCTAGGGGTAGTCCCTGTCTTTATTTTGCCAGTCACCTCACACCTACAAAGTCAGTCTTGCCGAGATCTAGGACCAGGCCTGCTCCCAGAAAGGAGGAGTAGACATGCTCAGCCTGCAGCCCACCAGCTCACCAGTGTGGCAGCTTGTCAGCCAGTAAGCATGATTTGACTGCAGAATCCTGCTTGCCTATTACAAATCTGCTTTGTAATACTGTTTGGACCAAACCCCTGCCTTCCCGTCTAAAATCCAACATTATATTTCCTGCTACCAAACACAGATACTTCCAGCCTGCATTCCTACTCTTGCCGTTGAAACCCCCAAGACGCTGTTAGCAGCTTCACCACCCCTACCTCTGAGCTGGAGGCCCGCTCAGGGTGTTGAACTTGGTTCGGGTTATCCTTGGTTAACAGTAGTCAGGTCCCTGGCCTTCCCATGTGTGTCCACCTCTCCAGGGACAGTCCCTGGTCTTGCCCTCATGTCCTGAACACCTGTCACCCCTTGACTCCGCACAGCTGCATGAATTTAGAATCCCATCCCACCAACACTCAAGTTTGGGATCTGAGGGATACAGGCCTGGACGCTCTGGGAACCCTTACCAATGTCAGTCTAACATGAAAACCAACTCTTCCTTCCACTGCCAAAATTCCTGGCACCCCGCCAAGGCCTTTGAGGGGTAGCTTGTAGCAGGGCAGCCATAGGAAGGTAAGGCAGCGTCTTTGAGGTAGAGGGAGAGTGATGGATGAAGACAGCAGCTGCTTTCCTCTTGGCCAGCTCCAACCCCAGGGCCATTTTGAATGCCACTCCACTGGCTGTCTGGGGACATGTCTTGCACTCCACCATCCTGGCTAAAGATATCAATGCACCTGGACTCTTCAGGCAGCTGGTGACAAAAAGAGGCAGATGGGAGGCTGAGGGAATTTTTTACACATCCTTCTTCTTTACCAGTTCTGCATTTTAGAATTTTTGAAATGGTGTCACTGAGGGAAAGAAAAAAATTTTCCAAAGTTGCTTTGCACGAAGCCATGTGTATTCATTTCCCCCTTAGGGCCACCGAGTCATGGTGATTTAGGGAGCTGCTGGTCCTGGTGATGAAATATTATTAGAGCAGCAGCAAGCCAGACCCCACAGGCATTATGCCAAGAAAACCAGAGCGGACTTCAGTGTGTAAACCTGGGGTTGCCTCTGAATCCTTTGGCCCTGGGAAGGGAGAGCAGAGCCCGGCCTGGGAAGACGCCAGGCAGGAGGACAGACAATGGGGATGGTAGCCAGGGCATGATGCCAGACTTTTTATCCTGTTGGGCCATCACGTCCTGGCAACTTCAAATATACAACATCCATCCCTCAGAGACTCTCAGCTCCTGAGCTGGGGACAAGTGGAGTCAGCCTTTAGGCTAAAATTTTTATATAAACTAAGAGATTTAGAAACAATGGATGTTGACATCTTAAAGGATGTGTAATTAATTAATTAATTCACAGTATTTCTTTAAAAACATCAAAGGCCAGTGGAGGAGAAGGATAAAGTAAAAAGTATTGATGTCCTAAAGCACATCATAGTTTAGTAGTACAAAATTTTAAACCCTAGGAGGGAAAAAATTCAGGGAGACAGAAGTGATCATTTACAGGCAGTAGAGGATATGTTGTTCTGAGGTGACTGACATTTTTCCTGTCGAGAGTTGAAGAAGACTTGGAAAAGGCAGAATTTGAGATTGGCCTTGCTGGTCGGAGGATTTAGACTACGGAACTCCGCTGGGCGCCCGAAGAAGTAGCAGCACAAAGATGCACACTTTACAGCTCTGTTGCCAAGGAAGCGCTCGCAATCTAGAATGCTGAGCAGATGTGTGAACGGAGAACAGAGGAGGACCCCGGAAATGGGTGTGATCTTCGTATGACTGAGGAGAAGCAGGAGGCATGGCGTGTATGTGGAGAGAGAGACACACACACAGAGAGAGGGACAGACAGACAGAGTTCTGGAAGGATTCTACTTAGGATGTAATATTTGCACTGAATCTCAAGACCTCAGTTCTCTGTGGACTTGGAGGAAGAACATTCTAGATTGATGGAACAGGAAGTGCCAAGGCTGAAAGACCGGGAGAATTCAGAGATGTCTGTGTGACAGGGACAGAGGATTGCGTGGGTGTGGCAATAGGTAAGTCTGTACCAAGTGGGCAGGATGAAGATCACCAGGGCCTGGTGGGCCAGATGAAGTGTGCGTGTACTTTATCCCACAGAGGACTGAGAGCCGGCCACAATTTAGAAAGCAGGACGAAAATGAGACAATGCTTTCCCTTCAGAAAAGTGACGTGTGGGGAGAAGGGGTCGCATTGCTCAGAGGAGCCAGGGGAAGTGAGAGCAGTTGAGGGTGATTAGTTGGAGATGAGAGCAGAGACTTTTAAGCCAGGAAATCAGAGCAGCCCATAGACACTCACAGGCATGTGGTGTAGTAGAGACAAAAGTACTATTTAGAGGTAGGGAGACCTTTAGCAGAAAATGTCCTGTGAAAGCCGTTTATTTTTAAAAATACTTGTCCATTGCTTTATTCTCCCCTCTCAGAAGCACTTCGCATTTTGGAACTGCTAAAATGGCTGTCATGTCTGTAACCTTCTGAATGTAGGGGAACAATTTCCTTTTCCTCTCGGTCAAAATGGACTTTGCCTCATGGGACTCATCAGAGTTGATGGCAGCTTTCGGTCTTCCTGTCCTCCCAGGCCAGCTGCAGACTGTGTTGTCCCCAGTATCAAGAGGGAAAGTCTGTGATTGTCACAACACTGTGAATTTTCTGTAAATATCTGAGATCAGTTGGCATAATTGTGCTTGTTTAAAAAAAAAATTCAGGAGAGTTGGCTCATTGAGTGTAAGGGGACACTTTGGCCAGCATAACTGTTGATCCTGACCTACTCAGCTCTCCCCTCTAAATGGAGGTTTTATGAAGTAGCTCTGCCTCCTGGAAAAGCTGGGCTTTTCTTACAGAAAAAAGGCCTGAGAGGAAGTGACTTGTGTTCTAATGCCCAATCCCTGGGAGACTGGCACTCGTAATACCTGCATCCTCCTGACATTTTATGTAATTTCTCCAATTCTTACACTTCACACACCAAGACCAAACCACACCTTGACCTGAGATGATTACACAGAGGGTCTGCCGGGCTGGCTGTGTGGCTTAGAATTTGCCATGCTCACAGGCGCCAGGGCAAATGAGGTGAGATCTCACTTGAAATTCCTATGAAGGCCAGTTGGCTGGGCACACCCTGCCCTCTGCTCTCACTGGCCCGGGTCAGAGAGGGAACTGGGTGAGGGAGTATGGACAGCTCCCAGCAGCCCAGCCCCACTCTCTAAAACTATGTTCCTGTGTCAGAAACAGACACTTCAGATGCAATGAGACCTTGATGAAGCAGCCCTCTGGGAAGAAAACACCATTAAACGTTTCAGCTGTGATTTCTCTCCAGCCCTCGTTAGTGAGTTGGAGCAGCAATTGGAGCAGCTTTTATACTAAACAGAAAACATTTTGTCTGCTGCTCAGGTCAAAATTACCTGTCTCGGGCTGGGAGTACAGCTCAGTGGTAGAGAACTTGCCTAGCATGAGTGAGGCTCTGGGTTCAACTCCCTCCCCCGTCAAAGGCTGCCTTATGGCTTCAATTTGCTTCCAAACAATTGCAGGCCCCTAAGATGAGGCCACATTCTCCTTCTCCACTTCCTATTTCAGTGCCCTTTCTTGCATTCTCCATCGCCTCTTTTCCCCTGGCAGCCACGGAAGGACATTTTTCCCCTGGCAAAGTTGGAAAGGTCCTTGCGACAGTTGTTTCAAGGTCCCTATCACCATCGTTTCAAGTAAACATTGCATTTCAAGGCTTTCCGTAGAAGCTGTAAGTGGAGGGTGACAGTTAAGAGTGATGTGTTAGACAGCTTTTTGTCACTATGACAAAATACCTGAGGGAACTGACTTGGAGAAAATGGTTATTGGGACTAGAGTTTCAAAGGGTTCAGTCCATGGTGTATTGGCTCCATTGCCCTGTGCCTGAGGTGAGGCAGAACATCATGGCAGAAGGCAGGACAGAGGAAAGGCACTCATCTTGTGGAGGGCAGAACGCAGACAGAAGAAGGAGAGTCAGAGATAAACGGGGGATAAGATATAGTCCCCTAGAGCACACCCCCATGGTCCATTCCCTTCAACTAGGCCCCACCTCCTTATAATGTCATCAAATTATGATCCATCAGTGGATGAATCTACCAAAGAGGTCACAGCCCTCATGACCTAGTCACTTTCTAAAAGCTCCACCTCTGACACTGCTGAGCTGGGGACCAAGCCTTCCACATGGGAGCCTTTGGGGGACAGGCCAGATCCAAATCCTAACAAACAGGTAGTCCAGAGCCAGATCAAAACACACTGGGATCTGGTTCTGCTAGTTACTAGCTGTGTGCCTTGGGGTAAGCCTCAGTTTCCCTCTCTGTAAAGTTCACATGGAGGGCAGTGTGGCTGTGAGGGGAAATTGCACAGTGGCACTCAGCACCAGTTGGCACATGAGAAATGATGCCTATGATTACTTGTTAGCTAATGGACACACACATATTCTAGTGGTCTTCATGCCATGGCTCAAAGTAGAGCAGATTGTCAGCTTTTTATTCGGTTTTTTTCCAGTACCGGGAATCGAACTCACGACCTTGCTCTTGCCAGGCAGGCACTGTGCCGCTGAGCTAAATCCCCAGCCCCTGTCAGCTTTTTATTATGAAAAATTTCAAACAAGGTGGAAAAGCTGAAAGAATTGGTGACGGGCAAATACAACACCTAGACTGTGGAATTGTTTACATATATGTTTACATAATTGTTTACATAGATGTGGAGTAACTTTAAGGACCACATTGTTCCTGAAATCAGTTGCTTGAATGACTGACTGTCAGACAGAAATGACTCCAGCCCCCACCAAGGCCTACGGGCAAGGCCACACTAATAAACACAGGTCCTGTGATACAGTCGCATCATTTGGCTTGTTAATTAGCTTTGCTACTTAATTACTTGAGGTTAGGGACACTGCTTTTATCTACTTCTCCTGACAGAGCACCTAACACACAGGTGGCCCATACACTGGCCGGAAGGAGAGGCTGCCGAGGGGGAAGGAAGAAGGGAGAGAGGGGAGTGGGAAGCGGGTGGCACGAGCAGAAGCCTGCTCTCACACCTGGCGGGTGCCTGGCCCTGGAAACACTCACCCTCTTTGACTTGGGGAAGGAGGCTGTCTTGGGGGGCCAAGCATGGCTTCTTTCTTCACTCTCCTTCCCCACTCCCCACCTTCCCCGCCTGAGAACTACTGGACCACTCAGACTCAGCTAACTTTGATCTTCTCCCCCTTATTCCAGAGACAAGATTGCCACTTGACATTATTAGAAATGTAAACTAAATGGGGCGTGGTGACACATGCGTGTAATTCCAACACTCTGGGAGGCTGAGGCAGGAAGAGAGCAAATTAGAGACCTGCCTCAGGAACTCAGTGACTTATTGAGGCCATGTCTAAACATTTAAAAGGTGGTGGGGATGTAGCACAATGCAAAGTCCCTGGGTTCAAACCCCAGTCTCTCTCTCTCTCTCTCTCTCTCTCTCTCTCTCACACACACACACACACACACACACAGAGTAATCTATAGCAGATTGTGTTTTCCTCCAAACCCACTCATTTTCACAGTACCTGAGAAAGTAGCCCTCACAAGACTTCTACATTCAGAAATGAAATTCCTAACCACAGAATGGGTCGTGAGGATCGTGTGGTCTCTGTGGAGAGAGCTGGCATGGCATTTACAGGGCACCATCTGCTAAAGGGAGGGGGCACTTGTGGTTTAGTCCCGAAGCCTGGGGAAGCTACCCTTCAAATACAGCCAATCACGATTGGTTCAGGCTTCAGGGTCAAACGCTTGCTTCTGTTCCACGCAGAGAGAACAATAGCTGAATTGGCCGGAACGCAGCTTACACAATGAACTTTCTCTACGCTTCCTCTCTAAGCCATCTCCAACATTTTGAGTTCAACAAAAATGTGACTCACACAATGAGTTAAAAACTTTGAGACGATCTGGAGAATAAATGCAGAACCTCTAGTTTATCTGTGTGGTATGGACCGGCTCATTTTCATTCCAGGCTGGCCTTGCCGATTTGCTTGCTGTCACCTCTCCTTGCTGAGCCCTTGGCTTCTGTTCAAAATACACAAGGCCATTTAATTATTAAGCTGAGCAAAACATTATTCGGGAAGTTGCACTGCTGCGCTCTTATGCGTATGGGCACACGTGGATACTTTCTTGATATCTGGGTGTGTTGCTTTGCTGTTTATTTTTCTGGACTCCTGCTCCTCTCCACTGGAGGAGGTATCCAAAAGGTGATTATTGCCAGTGAATTCCGGAGGCCTTTGGGGCCAGGGCCCCTCCTTGGATGTGTGTGGAAGTGTTTGTCAGCTGTGCAGGGGTCATGCATGCAAGAAGTCCCTGACCTTGGCCGTGGAGTGGAGCCGGTATCCGTGACCAGGAAAATGTCAAGTGTTTGTGTTTCAGGATGGTTTTATGCCCAGATGTCAGCAGAGAACACTTTATAGGACTTCTTGATGGCCCAGGGCTCCAGGAACTATCACAATTATTTAGCCAACAATTTTAATGAGTCCAAATAAACTCATTCTATTTTTATATTAATAACAGGGAGAGGGAAGTTGGGAGATTAAATACAGAGGAGGGTGGGTTTTAGCTTCACTTCCCAGAGCCATGGGGAATTTTTCTGCAGAATTAGGTCCAGCCTATTATTATTCCCTTCCTTGTAAGGCTGTTCTTCTTCCCTTACTCTTCCTCTTTTCTTCCTTTCTCTTTTACTTTCTGGTCTTTCTCTTGCTTTCTTTCTTCCTACCTTCTACCCCCTCCTTTCCTTCCTTTAACATGTATTGCATGCTCATTATGTACTAGGCACAGCCCTAAGTTCTGGGGACACAGAGATGAACACATGGCCTGGGCCCTCCTGGAACTCAACGTAGGATGGGTGGCAGAGGGAGACAGATCATTACAATACAATGGGTAATGACAGAGGTAATCACAGAGTGCAGGTGAGCTGTGGAGGAGGGGCCCCTAATCCAGCTTGGCTTGGGAGAGAAGGTGGGAAGCTTCCAAGAAGGGATAATTGGGTGGCTGACTGGGGTGGAGCTGCAGGATGAGAAAGGCCCAGACCCTTTGCCCAGCCAATCAACCTATTCAAGTGGTATAGAACATTGGACCAAAGGAATGGCATGGAAGCTTGGGGATGGAGTCTTCATAAGCAGATGACCACAGATGTTGATGACACTCTGTCTAGTTAGGGCCATAGGGGCAGAGGAAAATGATGCCTTCTACTCTGGGAAGGTACCAGTGACCTACTCCTGAAATGCTGGGCACCTTCCAAAGTGCCTGTGTAGATGACTGACTACAGGAAATACAGGCTGACATGAAGGAGAGATCACCCTTGATGGCCAATACACAATATGTATGATGATTAACATTGGTGGCCACCTTGATTGGATTGCAGGATGCCTAGAAGTAAAGCACACTCCTGGGAGTGTGTGTTGAGGGTGTTCCAGAGAGGATTGACCTGTGGGTCAGTGGACTGGTTAGGGAAGATGCATCTGAGCATGGGTGAGACTGTCCAAGGGGCTAGGGGTTCGGATGGTACAGAAAAGCAGCAGATGAAGGATGCCCACATGTGCATGCTTGATCCTTCTTGGGCAAGTACATCTTTTGCTGGTCAGCACACCGTGGGTTGCTAGACAGAACATGGATTTGTGCCAGTGACTCTCCAAAGGACTTTCGGGCCTTCAGCCTCAGGCTTAGGCTGTATCATGCATCCCTCTTGTTCTGAGGCTTCCAGCATCTTGGACTGAGCAGTTGCTAGTTTCTCCGGCTCTGCAGCCTGCATATGGCCACTGGTGCTGTTCCTCTGGAGAATCTCGGTACAGTATGTATGTGCCCAGGGGTAAAGAGCTGTTCAAGGAGAAGTGGGCGCTGGGTAACCACCAAAATGTGAATGAAGAGCAGTGCTCACCAGAGTGGGACAATGGTTGGGAGGACTCCTGGACCCTATAAAATGAGGCTTAAAGCGTGCTACAGGTCTTACTGGGAGCTCGAGACTGGAGGAGTTCTTTGGGCCAGCAGACATGCAAGTGGCTGCAAGAGTTCTTATACCCTCTAAGAGCAGAGCCCTGACATTGGCTGCCCCCCAAAGATGACCTTATCATTTCAGGAAGGTGGCAAGAGTCTGTTGAGAGAAGCTTAGACCCTGTTCCTTGGTAGTCTCAACCCTACAGTAGAAAGAGCACCTGTGTGTCAGCAGGACATGAATACCATGTCCAAGAACACTGGCTCCACAGTGTTTTTTTTAAGAGAAAAAAACAATAAAAACAATGATAAAGAGTTTCAAAACAAGATAACAGATTAACAATGGTTAGTATATTGCATATTGTTATCTTCAAAGTTGCTCAGATTACAAGATATAGGCATGAAAGATTAATCAAGCAATATAACCACAAACTGTTCTTTTTAATGAACTAATACAAATTAGTAGTATATCTTAGCTATCTTATATATATATATATATATATATATATATATATATTTTGTTTGTTTGTTTGTTTGTTTGTTTGTTTCTTTTCCCTTCCTTCTTTTCTCCTTTCCCCCATCCCAGTTGTTCATTCCTTTTGGGCAGGTTCTTTGCCTTTCACAATATCTATTGTGGGTCTTATTTACTCTTTCAGTTTTTTACACTAGGGAGACAATACAATGTCTACACATACTGCTCCACAATCTTAATAGTTACCATGTATTCAGTGCCTGCTCCATAACAGGGCTGTTCAGGTATTATTAATTTAACCCTCACAAGACTACATGACAATACATTATGATACTATGTACCATAATTCTCCCATTTTACAGATGGTGAAATCAAAGTTTGGAAATGTCACAGGTCCCTGGGAGGGAGGGGGAGGTGGAGAGGCAGGGACAGAGACAGAGAGATCTCGTCTTTCTACCTCTGTTAAAAGGACACTAATCTTATCACTAGGGCTCTACCTTGGGATCTCATCTAAACCTAGTTACCTGCGGAAAGCCTTCCAAAGAACACAGAGCCACATTTGAGTTCATCCTAACTCTAGGACCCATGATCTTAAGAGCTCTCTTTCCAGTGAATACTCAGTGAAGCTCCTCTTTGACCTGACTTTGGGACCACAGCCCCTCAGAGATGGTAACTTTGAGAGGCCCTACAGAGAGATGAACTGCATTTCTATAGCACTATTAATTATGAAGATGCATAATTAAAATGTTTTCATTCCTGTAAAGTATAAGCTTAGTGCACTCAAACAGTATTAGCCAAGAACATAAAGCCCAGGAGGGGAAACTACAGATTAGGGAACAGATTCTTTGAAGTCTGTTACTTCTGTAGCTGTTATGGGCTGAATAATGTGTGTCCCCAAAATTCCTAAATTCAAGTCCTAATCCCTAACATGGTGTTACTAGCAGGCCTTCCGCAGGTAACTAGGTTTAGATGAGATCCCGAGGTAGAGCCCTGGGGATAGGATTAGTGTCCTTTTAGCAGAGGTAGAGAGACCAGATCTCTCTCTGTCTCTCTGTCTGTCTCTCTGTCTCTCTCTTTCTGTGCGTGGTGTGCACTGACAGCAGGTTGTGTGAAGACCTGGCTGAGTTGCTTTACGATTCTTTAGCAGATGAAAGATCTTCCACGCTGTCTGTGGCCACCCGGTGAATGAGCAGGGGATACAGGCAGCCCTCACAGCTGGGAGGAGAGCACAGATCTGCACCAACCCTTGGCCTGCCCACCCGTTCTATGCATCACACACAGGTCTGAAGCAGGCACAGACGATCTCTAACATGCTGTGTGGTCACCCAGAAATGTGCCACAGGGAACCTGGTGCGTGTTTTCGGGGGGCTGCAGCTGCAATTCCCTTCCGAGTGCTGGAAGCATGTGCTTTCACTGCCCCAGCCCTCAAGGAAGCTGATGCTACAGTCAAGTCCTCTAAGTAGGGAGGATTCTGTGCTCCTCTGTGTAACCCGTATCTCAACAGTCACCCAAGTCAAATAAGCATCCCAGCTGCAGAAAAGGCCATCTTGTGTTTAGCGGCTTTCTTACCTTTTAGGCGTTCTTACTTGGCAGGCCCAAATCCCTTCAGTTTTGAGGCCATTTTTTCAAGTTCTGCTCTTGACGGAGATGAAGATGCAGACAGCCCCCTCCCACACCACTTCCCTCAGTATTTAAAGACTATGAAGGCAGGCCTATTTTGAAAAGCACGCTTATCTCTCTGTTCTGCCTGCGTTATCCAGTTTGTTGAGAGGAGGAAACTACGGGTGCAACGGGGCTGAGGAACTGGGGTACGAGACATGCTGCGCCTGCTCCTCGGTGGACTCTCCTCCCACATACGATGTGCTTCTCTCCTCCTCTCCTCCCAGATGCGATGTGCTCTCCATTCTCTGGATGTGAAGGAACAGCACGAGTTAGGGAAAGCAGGATGTGAAGAGCGAATGAAAGACTGAGATACAGAACTCAATCAGCGTCGCACACGCACACAGGTACGGTGGCCTGGCTTGGGTTTTCTCTTTCCTCCTGGCGTGGGCAGACATGAGATCCCGAGAAGCCCTCGCATGAATGTGAGTCCATGGGTTGTACCGTAAGTACCCAGGCGTCTGTGACGGGTCCCGAGCCAGTTCCACCAATTTTATCCCCCGAACTCTGCTTTCTTTCTGTGCCAGCTCTTCGCACCTTTGTGTGACTTTAAATCAATGTATTTCCTCTCTTGGGGGCACTTGTATTTCCAAACCTTTCTCTCTGTGGACAAGCTAGATGTAGCCTTTGTTACAGAGGCTAACGAGCCTCCTGGTGACCGGTTCTTTTATGTTGTTGGCTGCTAGAAAGGCACAGCGAGGCAGGTGTCACATCACCTGCCACTTCCAGGCTCACAGGTGATACCCTGGGAGGAGGAAGCACAGGAGGCCACCGGGACAGTGTGTGGCCTTGGCAGGGGGCCCAGCCCAGAGGTCTGCTGCTGCCTGGACTCCTCTCCCAGCACAGCCTCCTTTATCACTTCAGAAGGTAAAATGAAGCAGCTGTAGTATGGGACGTGCCGGTGACTTCCGCTGTGTCCCAGCAGTGGTGTGGGGTATGTATGACTCACAGTCTTGGTCATAACTCTGGGCTCAGGATTCACCAGTTTCCAAAATTAGCAGCCAGTGCACCCACAGAGTCGTTGGACACTTCCCATTCAAAACTCTCCACGAGATAAACACACAGAGAAAGGAAAGGTTACAGAGCTGCCTGTTGTTGCAGCTTTTCTAGGAAGTCTGCAATACATCCTCCTCTCTGGGTCCATATTTATGTTTCTCTATAGAGAGCCCTTCCCAGTCCTGGTTGTGCCCAAGAGGTTTACATTTGTAATCCCATGGCAAAGTTATTGGAATTCTAGCAAGTAAATTCTAATCTGCCACTTCCAGTGCAACCCATGGTGAGAATAGACACTAAGGCATACGTGTAGTTATGGGGAGCCAAGGGGTCCTTAATCCACCCACAGTGATGGTTAGCTGGAGCAAAGGCCTCAACCCAGTGCTGAACGTGGATTTTATTAATTCATGAAGAAGGGAGTGGCCTGAGGATGAGTGACTGTGAGAACCGTGGGAAGTAGGTGAGTGCTGTGAGCTGGGCTAGGTAGGAGGGCCGAAATCACTCCTGCCATACGCAGAGAGAAGGATACATAGAAAGAGTAACCTGCATAACACAATTGAGATAGTATCTAATGTTTTGGGGTCGGTGCTTCCGCTCTGAGGTGTAATCTTTTAAGCCCCGGGAAGTCATAAGCCTCTATCTCTAGGCTCAGTTGCTCCTTCTTCAAGGAGAGTCACCCAGGTGGTCGGACCTTCACATTTCTCTTTGGGAGAATGTATCTCTCTTTGTTCCACCATTTAGTGCCTGTGCATTCATCTATTCAAGATTTGGGGGAGGGAAGGTGCTGGGGCTGGAACCAAGGACCTTACATTCAGAGGCAAGTGCTCTACCTCAGCTGCACCCCAGCCAAGAACTTTCACGGGACCCCGTCCTTGTGCCTAATGCTGGGAGAAGCCCGGGAGAAGGCAGTCTCTACTTCCCTGGAGCTTGCCACTGGGCGGAGAGCCCGGGGTCAGTGACTTAGTTTCTTGTTCTGTGATGTCCTCATCCTTGAGATGGAGATAACATTCCCCACTCATTGGATATTGTCTATATGGCGTCTTCAGGGCACCTGACCCTCGGTAGACATTTAATTAAAGTTCACAGTTAGTTTCTCTGGAGAAACAACTAGTGTGGGTCTGAGATTATCGGTGTTCTGATGTGCCTGCTGGTGCCACCCTCACAGCTTGTCCTGTAGGCTTAGAGCCCCACTGATGCCACAGCTGGGAACCTAGGCGCAGTGGGGATGGGACTGGCACTGTTCAGACCTCAGTCACTCAACCTAAAAGGAGTCGGGCCACCACTTAGTGACTGCAGAGGACCATAAAGACCATTCCAAGGTGTAATTCAATTTTATTGCTCTCATTCATTTCCTCTTTGCAGTGGGGAATCACCCAGACAGCCACACAATGACACGAAGCCTGGGAACGTCAAGGTGTGTCACTGGTTGCCGTCCTGACAAAGCCAGACAGCAAAGCCTGCACAGCCTGCCTTTAGTGCAGAGACCATGTCACTGCCCAGGCCTGCGGCTTCCTGCTGCCGTTCCTTGCCGCGGTCTCCTCCTGGCTGAGGTTTCTGGTTCCCCCAAGGCACTGGTAGTTTCCGCGTCAGGTGCTCGTGTGAATCTCTCCGCAGGTGTCTGTTTCCCCGTCTTGTGGCGTTGTCCCTAGCTGCATGTGAGCTCTTGAGAGATCCTATTTATTTCTGTACTCACGGCAACTTTCCAAGAGCTCCTTTGAGTTCAGGAAAGATGAGGCAGACGCTCTGGTCCTCCCGGTGAGGATCTGGGGTGCTCTTGGTGGCAGTAGGAGCCAGGGGACAAGGCCATCTTTAAGTGTCCTTAAAGTGGACAGCAGCCACTGGATTCTCAGAGTTCTTTCCAGGTCTATGATAGTTGGGTCCCGATGACCTGGAGCTGAAGACAGCTTGAAGCTGGGCTGAAAAACTCCCAGACGGAGAGGACAAAAGAAAATTAAATATAGGGTGGCTTAGAAAGTGCGCTAGGAAGGTGCCAGAAGCCTTAACATGTGTCAAATTGACACTTGGCTGTGTTCAGCGTCTTTTTCTCAGCATTATGAGGCTCATCTGTCTAAAAGGCCCTGAGAAATCTGTCACTCTTGGATTTAAAGCAGCTGGCCAGTGTGGCGAGTCGGCGTGACTTGGAAGCAGCAGTGCAGCAGGTGATCAGAGGTTTGACTCCCGAGCCTCTGCCCTCTGCCATGCCTGGTGCTACCTCCAGCAGACTCGATTCGCACAATCGCAACTCTCGTGGTCTTGCTGTTGCCTCCTTTGCCAAGCCCATGGGGCCTTTCCCTGTCATTCTGCAAGGTCTTCTCTCCACACTGGAGTGGAGCGGAGCCAGACAGGCCTGGCGTGAAAGCCACCAGTTGTCAGTTATGCAACTTAAATGTGTTTAACCTCTCTGGGCTTCGACTTTTTTCACCTCTAAAATGGGACCAGGTTCACCCAGCTTGTAGAGTGATTCTGAGAATTAAACACATGCCTGCATCCACAATCCTTTTGGAACTTTAACTGAAAAGCTTTTGAGTGGGGTTATGTGTACAACCACGTGTACCATTAAGTTACGTTGACATCTTGAACAAGTTACTATGCCTCGGTTTCCTCGACTGTAAAATGGAGAGAATATGACTACCTACTTCAAAGTTCTTTTCTGGAATAATGAAATGAGTTAATATGTGTCAGATGCTTGGCATAGCAATCAGCAGGTGGTGTGCGCTCTGTCTTAGCTGTTAATGTTATTACTCAGTAGAATGCCTGGCAGCAAGGAACACTAAAGAAAAAAGAAAATTGAATCCTTGTCCTCTGGCCCCTTGAATTCTAGCTTTGCTGCAAGTCTACCAGACTCTATAGGGGCTCCTTCCTGTCTCTTTGCCCTGTCTTCTAGATCTCTCTCGAGCAAACATGAAACTGGGGTACTGGTAGCTGCTGGCAATCATGCCCAAGTTTGGTGGCCCCAGTAGGTAGAAAGTGTCCAAAAGAGACCAAAGGGGTCAGAAGGACCAACAACATTGGTGAGCTTCATTCTATTATTCGCCTTGGGGCTCTAGGCTCAGGGACATCAAAGAGGGAGCCAGAGTGGGCGACTGGGATCATCTCAGGAAGCAGGCAGGCCTCCTACCTTCCTGGAAGGAGGTGTTCCCCAAACAGAGGGCACCTCTACATTTTGTCAGCTCTGGCACAGGCCAGGGGAGCTCTAGGTTAGCTCCAATGGGGATGTTTTTCTAAGTCTGCCAACCGAAGAAGGTGATAATAACATCCAGCCCCCAGGACTGGGCTGTGTACACAACACTCGCTTGCTGCTGAGGCTGCTGGTGCTTTTCCCTCCAGGGAGAGCGGCTTAGGGAAGCCTGCCAGAAGGAAGTGGAGCCAGGCTGCTGGCCCAGCTGCCCACGGTGCCAGGCCGAACTGGCTGTGCTGGGTGTGCGAGGCAAAGACACTTGTGAGTGTGCAGAATCCGTCACACATGGAGGACTTAGTCTGTGCAAGGCACGGTGGAGATCACGACGGGGTATAAGACACGGCCCCAGCGCCTGAGGGGTTTGCCAGTCTGCTGGAGGAAACAGCAGTGCTCACACAGCAAACTAATAATAGGATCTCTGAGGTCATCAGTGTGTCCTTGCAGATATCATTGACCCGTGAGACTCGGAACTCCTGAGATTGTGGGCGGAACCTACTTACTAGCGCAGGCGTAGCAATACCTCCTGTAGACAAAGCATTCTTCTAAAGGCTTTCACTTATTTCTTTGTCATTTATTTTGCACCTTATTTTGCATCAATATTCTCATTTGCAGATGGGAAGACTTAGGAGCAGGAAGGTGAGGGACAAGCCAAAGATCACATAGGTAAGAAATGATGGAGCCAGATATCGGCTCCAGAAGGCCACTTCTTTGCCCACTAGGGTAAAGTACCTGGGGCAGGGCTCAGGGAGTCGCACTGGAAACGATTCCTTCCTCTCTTACATTTCAGGGAGCCCACAGTGACCTTGGTGGGTAGAGTCTAACCCATGGTATGGCGACCATGCCGGCTCCTGTCCTTGATGGGTGGCATTCGCTGCCCTGGGGGGCCATCTGCTCAGCCTGCCTGTTGCCCTCTAGCACAGGAAATTCTCTTAGGCAATAGGTCTCCTGCCAGACCCTCAGAGGCTTTGGCAGGCTTCCTGTTGGCTGTCTTTCAGAGACAAGAGGATGCCAGTGCAATCAGCTGTGACCGCAGAGGTAGGGGCTGTGTGCAAGAGGAGAATCAAGTGGTTCCCTGCGACCCCGAAGAGCTTCTGAGTCCACAGCCAAGGGGCCTGACATCTTCACCTCCATAATCAGTTGAATCGCTGCTGGTCGCTCACCCGGAAGCCATAAAAAACACACCTGTTTGCATGAAATAGATTTATAAGGTTACCAAATACTACTGGAAAATAAATCTAGCCAACTATCCAGCCATAGAGAATTGGTTCAGTAAATTCAGGTGCACTGGAATATCAGATTACTATACAGCTATTAAAGTCAATGCTATATATATGTACTATACCTTAAAAATGTTTTTAGGTATCTATTTTTTAACATAAAAAGACGTTAAACATGAAGATCAACTTGAAGAATAGAATGGCTAGTATGATAATTTTTATAAGAAAGTATATATGTGTTGTCTTAGTCCGTTTTCTGTTGCTATAACCACATATTTATAAGGAATAAAGGTTTACTTGGCTCATGGTTCTGGAAGTTTAATAGCATGGCAGCAACATCTGCCTGGCATCCGGTTGAGTCATTACATGGTAGGGGGAATCACAAGATGAAACCAAGAAATGAATCATGCTAGCTAGTGTGCATCTCTGTATTCTTTCTTTCTATCTTTCTTTCTTTCTCTTTCTTTTTTTTGTTCTCTTGAGACAGAGTCTCTTTGTGTAGTTTAGGTTGGCCTTGATGGCAATCCTCCTGCCTCAGCTGGAATTATAGGTGTGTGTCACCATGCCTGGCTTCTACCTTTTCTTATAAAGCCACTAACTGCATCATGGGGTCTCCACCCTCATGACCTCATCCAATGCTAATTACTTCCCAGAGACCCCGCCTCCAAATGTAATTAATATCAGACTTTGGCAACTAAGTGTCTAATTCATGAAATTTGAGGGATACATTCAAACTATAGCATGCATATGGAAACATATTTTCATTTATACACAAAATATTAATAGATGTTATCTTTGATAGGAAGGATATTAGGTTCTTGAAATTATTTTCTTTTTGCTTATTTATATTTACATTTTTTCTGCAGAAAATGTACATTTCTTATATAAGAAGTCTGTTTTTTTCCACTCCAGTGACATATGAGAAATAACCTTTATTTTGTAAAATGGACCAGTACATTTTAAATATGAAGAAAAAAATGAGTCTCTTGTTCTTTTCTCCTTTTCCCCCTTGTTTTTTGGTGGAAAGCAAATATCATTCACTGTGCAGAATGATTCTTGGCCAGCAGTTTACCTTGAGTCATCAGAACAGAGCTGGAAGGGATTTCCAAGACTCTTTAGCCTAATTCCGTCAGTAACAGTTGAGGAAACTGAACCCAGAGTGTCAGCTAGTTCTGGGCCTTTGCACTGGCCTCACTAACACCATACAGGACAAGGACCACTCTTTGTGGAGTGTCCACTCAGCACAGGAGAGGTAGGGGGCTTGTCAGTCACTATTCTACAGCTCTGCTGGTTGGGAAACGTGGAGCTGAACTCACTGCAGCCCAGCAGTGAGAGTTCAGACGCTGCAATAGGAGATGGGAGTGATCGCCGTGGTCTCTTCCGGTGACCTGCTACGGGGAAAGCTTGCGTGTGCCTCTCTGCGAAGACAGAGGCCACGGCTTTCTCTCTTCTCTTCCTCAGCTATTGGATCATAGGGGTACTTGGGATGCTTTCATTCTCCCCTCCACTTATCTTTCTGGAAAGCGGAGCTGTGAGCCCTTAACCCTTGCAGACCCAGCTGAGATGCTGCGCTGGTAACACTGCCTGGTCAGCTGTCCTGCAGAACCTTTGGCACAAACAGTGTTAGTCCAGCCTTGCGCTGCACGCGTCAGAAACCCCCCTTGACTTAGTGTCAGCAAAGGAGAGAAATCATTAATTAGTTCATGAAGCCCAGGGGGAAATTAAGTTCAGGAACTAAGCAGAGGCAGGGACTTCAGCTCGCCAAGCTGTGGCTTCTACCCCTTGTCTCTGGTGAGGAGAGACGGAAGAATTCAATGGTAAGTGAGAATTTTTAAGAAGTCAAAATAAAGACCCTGGCCAGAGACATTCTTCTTTCCCACCAATATTTTCCCATCCACTGGGAAAGAACTGCAGTGAATCTCTCCTTGGCTGGGTCCTTAAAGAGTCACCCCTGGGTATTTTAGGACCCAAATCAAGTTTGGAGAACTGTGTTCCCTCTTCCCAGCCCTCTCTTCAGAGAATTAAACCATGGGGGTAAGAATCCTGTAATTTTAACTGTATTTATAAATCCCCGATCCTTTATGTAGTGTTTCTTTTTCCTACTCCGCGCTTAGCCTGATGTTGCTATTTTCACAGAGAAAAGAGGCTATAATTATAGGTCAAACACCAGCTCTGGAAGCAGCAAAAGCAGCAGAAAGTCCAGGCTCCCTGCCCTCTTCCGGGTTACACCCTGGGCACGTTCCCCTCTCCCCCTGAGCCTAGGTCGGCTCTCCACCTCTATCCCTGTATCTATGCTCTTTTGTCCGCCTGTCTAGCATATCACGAGACAAAGAGGGAAAGTTAGAATTGAAAGCCAAGGAGTTAAAACTCAACCTGCCTCTTGGAGATAATTCAAATGGAAAAGAAAAGAAAAAAAAAATTTCAGGTCATTGGCCTTTTTAAACAGACCGCCGGCAATATTTACTCCTCCTGAAATAGCACAGTCACATGAAATCACACCGTGTTCACTAAAGCCTGCAAAACAAAAGGACGATTTAGAGGCTGGTGCACGCTCCAGAGCCCTCTGTTTGGCGGGTGGATCGGGGCCTCTGCGTCTGGGCTCCCTGGCCACCCTCTGCCCAAGGCCGGCAGGAGGCCTTTGGTCAGGTTCAGATTGCCTTGAAGATGCTGCCCGGCTTTTCCCCTGCAAAAACATGGAAAGGTAGCCTGGGAGTGGAGAGGAGGGCTGGGTGAGCTTGCGGCAGATGTGGCATCTTCCGTGGAATCAGTGCTTACGTCACGTCGTGGGTGCTGCGGGGACAGCTGCCAACGGTGTCGCTCACTCTCCAGGATGGCCAGCTCCCATTGTCATTTCTTCTCTCTCGTGTACCTCTATTTCCTTACCATCTGCCCGTCTTTCCTCCCTCTGCTCCCTCTCCGTCTCCCTTTCTCATATCCCCCTTTGCCTTCTCTCCCGACTGCTTGGTTCAGGTAAGGCCTTTCGTGGACCTTTACTGAATAGTCCCACTGTGGCCTGGAAGTCAGCAGCATCTACTAATGCTAGGGTTCAGGAAGGTACCGTCACAGGCCAGTCCCGCTGTCACTGTGAAGTCCCACTGAGACTCGGACTTCCCTGAGGATACAAGGGACATTTCTCAACCTCACTCTTTGAATCTTTTCTTCTCAGTTGTCCATGATTCCTTCTAGAAAATCAAAAGGCATGATGGTGCACACCTGTAGCCCCAGCACTTTCAGAGGCTAAGGCAAAAGGATCGTAAGTTTGAGCAGCTTAGCAACTTCATGACTTAAGGCTGTTTTGAAATAAAGAATAACTGGAGATGCAGCTTAGTGTGAAGGCCTTGGGTTCCATCCCCAGTACTGAAAAAAAAGAAAGAAAGGAAAAAAAACCAAAAGCCATTTAAACATACATTATACTTGTGAGCTCCTTGTGTTTCTCCAAACCCTTTCACATCCACTGAGTCAGAGTTTACCTCTCAACCATCTTGGGAGCTGAGCAGAGCGACTGAAGAAACAGAAAACCAAACAGGGTCAGCAGCATGCCCAAGTCAGCCAGCGAGCTATAAAAAAGAAGAAAATGACACCAAGAGGGATCCTCTAGCGTGCGCAACACCAGCCTGTACGCCTGGCTTATCAAACAGCGAATGCTTTGCTGACGATGGAGTTTGTCACCTGGAACTTTACGGAGCAGATTTCCCTGAGGGTCTGAGTTTCCTTCTTTTACATCAACAATCAAACTGGTACTGGTTTCATTTTCTTTTGTGCATGCCAAGAGGTACAGTCAGTGGAAAACAGCTAGAGGTGTATGTAACGAACTCTATCTTTTTAAAGTGATAACCATAAAGAGAACTACTTAAGATTTCCAGGGAAGTCTGTCTGTCTGTATATGTTTGTCTGTCAGTCTATCACCTCTATGTCTTTCTCTCTTTCTCTCTGATCTATGTCATCAGCAGATACTGAGTCCTTAGCACTTTGTGAGGCCATGTTGGAGGTGATAGGGTGGACGATAGGTTTGTGGGGGAAAGGAGACCCTGAGGAAGACTGTACCAGAAACTTATGCTTTCACTTCTAACAGCCTCATCCCAACGTCTGCGTCAAAGGGCCACTCTGGGCTGCGGGGACCCGCTTCACCTGGGGCCACAGAGAGCAAGGGATCCAGGGGACAGCCTTGACCAGTGGTTGACAGGTGCAGAGGATAAACACTCGCTCTGAGATCTGATTTATGCCGTCACAGCCCTGTGGGATTGAGCTCGAGTTACCCTCTGTGGAATTTCCATTGATGCCACATCCTTTTTTGGATTCTGCTTATTCTCTGTCCTACTTTCCCATTCCCCTACTGGCTTTTCCTGGAAACACATCCTTAAAAAGTCATGTTCACAACAATTCTTGTCTTAGAATATGCCTCTGGGAAACCCAGCCAAAGGCACAGTTTTGTTCTGTCTTAGGGCTAGCCCCCAGCCCAAGTCTTGGGGATCAGAGTAAGTAGGAGACATAAAAAAATGGGGGGCCAGGTTACCTTCA